AGAAGAGTTCAAGAGCCCAGGCTCTCTTTGGTCCCGTCCCAGATCTAGCCAGCCCTAAGTCCTCTGGGTCCTGAGCCTCACCCTGTATCCCAGAATAAAGGTCTCCTTTAAGCAAGCTAGCTAGCTCCAGACGATTCCATTACTTGTCACCACAGAAGTATTTTTTTAAAAATATTTTATTTATTCATGAGAGACACACAGAGAGAGGCAGAGACACAGGCAGAGGGAGAAGCAGGTTCCATGCAGGGAGCCTGGTGGAGGACTTGATCCTGGGACTCCAGGATCACGCCCTGAGCCGAAGGCAGGCACTAAACCACTGAGCCACCCAGGGATCCCCACCACAGAAGTCTTAATCTTAATCAACACAGAGCAGGCATTCACGTACTCAAACTCATATCCCTGGTGAGCCCAGGCCAGCTGAGATGTGCTTTGGCTCTGAGGGAAAGGAAAAGAGAATGAGACATGATCTCGACCCTCAAGGAGCTCACGGGCTAGTGTGGGACCTCAACCAATGTATTAAATGTGGCGAAAAGGACACAGAGTGCCAGGAAGGAAACAGGCCTGGGGCAAAAGGAAAGGTGCAGAGAGCCAGGAGAGTTTCCTGGAGGAGGAGCTGCCTGAGTTGAGCCTCAGAGACGGATCCCTGCAGTGGGGAGAGGACATTCCTGGCAAAGATGCCTGTGTGCCCGGAGAAGGGCAGGCTAGCACAGTTTGGGGGAGCAAACAGGCACAAGGGGCTGTCCTAGATAAGATGGGGATCAGGGAAAGGAAATAAGACACAGCCCCAGAGGCTTGCAGTGCAGAGGGAAACCACAGCGAAAGTTCAGTAGAAGTCCAAGACTAGCAAAAAAGAGCATTCCAAACAATTACCATGAAATGAGTGGTGCCTGCTATGTGACAGAGCCAAGAGGAAGAAGAATCCCCTTTCAGCTTGGCAGTTTACTAGAGACTTCAGGACGGGCAGAGCAGAGTTAGGCCTTGAAGTGCTGTGCCGATTCAAAAGGGCAGCTAGCACCCGGCCACCTTCTTGTGAACTATGCTATCAAAAATATTCAATATTACACGGAGCTCCAGATTCCTTAAACCGCTTTCACACAGAACTCACTGGATGCCCATGAGCACACTGGGGGATGAGGAAGGTAACAGAACGGGTTTGACCACAGGGAAGCAAATAGAGACTGCATGAGCCCCCGGGTCACAGAGCTAGTGAGTGGGGCCAAAACCACGCATGCCAGAGTAACCCAACCCTGCGCTGAAGCTTCTCTTCTGTGGGGCAGCTCAGAGGAGCTGAGAGCTACTCTTAACGATGAGAGAACACAATATGTACTTGTGTAATTTAGTATTTGCCTTCCCCACCCGACTACAAGCTCCAAGAGGGCAGCCGCTGTATGACTTGGTCAGCAATTAAGCTCGGCACCTGGTCCATAATTGGAAGCTGGAGTGTGTTCAAACTGACTTCACAACTGAATGAGAGTGACTACCAGGGTGAAGGAACCCAACGGAAAAGGAGAAATGAGGGCAGGGGCAGAGGATCACTAAGGCTCGTTGAGCGCAGCCTTCAGACATGTGGAAGTGAATGGTCCAAAGCTCTCCTCTTCCTTGCTGCCTCCCTCACAAACCATGGCATTAGTCCGGAGGGCAGGCACAGTTGGATAAAGAGAGATGCCAAAGCGACAAGTGCCAGGTTGCTACTTCCCAGCCGCACAAAGGAGGTGAGGCTAGCATGTGCACCAGCGGTCCCCGGTGATGTGCACATACGCTTTTGGTAAACACCACAGTCATACCTACTTTTCAGGTGTGATCCCGAGTTCTAAACACTAAGCACCTGCTGTGATATTCTATTTGGAGTTCTGCTCCACCAGGACAGGTTTCTGGAAGAATTTTTCCCATGTTCTCCTTGGGTCACATTCTCCAGCTTCCCCTGTGGTTGCCCTACAGTAAAACCAGCTCCCAGGAGTAAGGTGGGAAATGGTCAACTCACCTGGCAACTAACTGTCCACTCACTTTGTAACCTCCAGAAGGCAAGGCTGAAAGAAACCAAAAAAGACAGGGAGGAACGAGTCAGAAAAGCAGTAAGAGAGGACCGTACTGCCACCCCCCTGTGGTCCTCCAAGAATATTCCAGCCTCCATTCTCATCACCCCTCTTTCTTCACCAACCCCCCAAACTGGTACCAACTCTGGGTAAGCCAACGGCTGACCCAGAGAGGGGTGACTGGTGCCAAGACCCACAAGCAGTTTCATTTGGCACAGAGTCTAAAGGAGAAACAGCTCTTTGTTTCAGCCATCAGAGGGATGACACAAAAATTCCCACACTCTCCTCTCAAGGCAGAGAGAAGTATCCTCTGGCCCTTCCAAAGCCAGAACATCCAGCTGAAGACAAAAGCTGCTTATCCGATGGGACTACTGGCAGATGCCAACTACAGGGCCAGCCACCACCCTGCCGGCTGCCCACACCCCACCCCTCCCAAAGGCTGCCCCTGGCCGAAGAAGTCCAGACTTGTCTCCTGCTTGAAGTCTCACAGCACCAGCACAGGCTGTCACTCAGAGCAAGAGACTCGTCCAGGGCATAGATGCTCTATTTTTACCCTCATCCTCACAGACTTCCCTCCAGACTCTTTGCTCTTAAAGAGAAGAGAATAAACCCCCACGGTGGGGAAGTGATAACCACACGACAGAGAATAGGCCAGAGCCAAGGGAAGATTCTAAGTAATTCAAGACAGGGCAGGCGTGCCTGACAGTCAGAGCAAGAGAGGATGGAGGCCTTCAAGCTCTTCCTCCATCCACATCATGTGATGAGGGCTGCCTCATGATTCTCAGGCAAACTTTCCATGAACAGCAACAAAAAAAGTGCTTCGTTTTAATGAACCCTGACCTCATTTACTGAGGGAACCTCAGACACACCCCACAAGTCTGGGTGCACGCAATCTGTCCACTCCATTTTTTGTCAGGCAGAAGTCACACATGCCCCACCTTCCTGGGCTCTCAGTAGCTCCCAGCAGCACAGACTTGAAGCTTTTTCATTGTGTTTATGAACACACTGTAAAAAAAGATGAACTGAATGAATGAGCAGATGTTAAAAAAAATGATACTGTGTAAAGGAAGGACTAAAACTATATTTAATAACGTTAGACCCCTTGGGCAGCCCAGGTGGCTCAGTGGTTTAGCGCCGCCTTCAGCCCAGGGCCTGATCCTGGAGACCCAGGATCGAGTCCCACGTCGGGCTCCCTGCATGGAGCCTGCTTCTCCCTTTGCCTGTGTCTCTGCCTCTCTGTGTCTCTCATGAATAAATAAATAAAATCTTTAAAAAAAAAAAGTTAGATCCCAGTTTTCCAAAGGAGTGGGAGAGCCCCACAGGTTAGCCCTGACAGTTTGGGCTGTAACAAACCCCCTGAGCTGTTACACCGAAGGGAAATTCTGCAGCATCTTGACAAAACGTCTTGAATAATGGGACTGGGTGGGGGGGTGGGGGGGTGGTATTTTCATCAGGAGCCATGCTTCTCCCTAAAGGCAGTAGGCAGAAATATTTTTCAGAATGCTGAGGCTCTTGGCAAAACAAAATTCTGGTATCAAAGTGCAACTCGACCCTCACCCATACTGCCACTGTCCTCACAGGGGACCCTAAAAAACCCCTTCTGCTGAGATGGAGCCCTTTGGTTGCCTAAGAAAGAAAACTCTGGATGGTATCAGACTGACTTTTTTTTTTTTTAAGGATTTTATTTATTTATTCATGAAAGACACAGAGAGAGAAAGAGAGAGACAGGCAGAAGGAAAAGCAGGCTCCATGCAGGGAGTCCAACGTGGGACTCGATCCCAGGACTCCAGGATCACACCCTGGGCCAAAGGCAGATGCTAAACCGCTGAGCCACCCAGGGATTCCCTTGACTCACTTTAAAAGAAAATCCCCACTTCCCAGCCCTTCACCAGAAAGGTTTTGACCAACCTGAATTTGGCAGAACACTTCTGACCCCTTCGTAAGACAGTGAGTCTTCCCTTCAGCTCATCTGGACCTTCCCCAAAGTTGTGAAGAGGCATGTGTCAGCCTCCTAAGCTTTCTCCTGCCCAAGAATTCCAGGGACCCCCTCGCCCCCTCACACTCACTCTATAGTGTGCTAGTCTTCTCTCAGAATTCAGAAGCAAGCAGGAACACATACCTTGAAGCTACCTTCTTGTTCAGAAGTTGCTGAGTCTTTGTTTCCTCTTGGAGTTGAGATTTACTATCACTTGACTTTTTAATCTGTTTTTTAGTAAAAAGCTGTACTAACAAGACATGGCTCATAAATAGAAGTAAACTTATTTTTGTTTTCTGACTTCTCAGTGAATTTTACGCATCCCCCAAGAGCGCCAAACAGCAGACAACTAGAGCAGGAGTTCCTTCTTAGGTGTTTGCTATCTCCAACCAGCTAGAAAGTAAATGTAAAGCAGGAAATGGCAATAGCATTTTGCTTTAAGAAGTTTTCTTCTGGGTGTATTTTTGCGTTTTAGAAATGAAATACTTTGGGATATGTTACTATTCAGAAGTACCAGCTGGTTTCAATGACTCTGTTCGCTCTGACTTCTCAAGTTATTTTACACGTTAGGGAGGGAATGAATGCTCCAAATTCTAACTGCAAAATTTCATGGTCCCGCCTCCTCTTCTGAGAGTGGGGCTGGGTAGGGTAGGGAACCAACTCACCACTCAGGTTCCTGCAAGTCCGACAGCTGAACCAGTCTTGAACAAAGGGCCTCATCTCAATCACCAGTCTCAAAGCCTACAACTGTCAATGAACAGTTACCATTTGTGGCATAACAAGGCCTGGGGGCATTAGCTATTAACCTTAGCCTGCCGCTTCTCCCATTCCAATTCTGAGTGGCACAGTGCTTCCTAGAGCCCACCCAACATTTAATGACCCATCAGGAAAAAGCATGAATTGGGCAAGATATCCACAAGTACTCTCTCTCCTTGTAGGTAAATTTAGACACATTTTGTTCAATAACTTGCACTCCAACCGACACAGAGAAGAAAAATGTAAGATTTTTATTGAAACCTATTTGGCAAGACAAAGCCTCAGAAACCAGACAGTTTAGATTTAAACAAGTACTGCATCAAGGAAAGCCGAATCTGAGCTGTCAACAAAAGGAAGTTGTTCTTTATTCCAGAAATAGCCTTAGAAAGTAACGAGCTTGGTGCTAATTAGAGAGGAACGGCGCAGGCTTGGTTATACACTGCCTATCAAAGCACCCGCCTTCCCTGCCTGAACTGTTTTGAAAATGGGGAAGTGTTTTCGAATAACCCTTTTCAATGCTATTCAGAGTTGAACTTTGTACTTCTGTGAACCACAAGATGCTGCTCCACGATATGCCACCCAATCTTACTCGGAAAAAATTATGCTTTGGGCACAAAAGCAAGAACCCTATTTTCGGTAAGTTTAGTGACTGGGCCTGGCAGGCCGTGCGCATCAGGAGCGGTCAGGCTGAGTGCACGGGGGTCCCGCAGTGTTTGTGCCACAAGTCGATGGCCTTGCTCACAATCGCGTCCGAGCTGTCCTGAGGAATCTGTGGACAAGCAAACGAGTCTTTGTGAAATTGCCATGTTTATGACTTCATTGACTCCCTCATTCATCATGCCTCAGCAATTTCCCCCTGGAGTTTTCACTACTTTTCAGAAAGTGATCCTATGAAAGGCTGCAGCCAAGATCTTTGTTTAGTGGGCCACTGGAGGACACAGTAAGGAGCTCTGGCCAGACTGGCCAGGTTTCAAGCCTGCCCTGCCCATCATGTGCCCCTGGGCAGGTTACCCAACGCTACCTGAGTTCAGATCCCATCTCTAAAATGGGGCAAATGACAGCCTCTTCCTAAGGCTGTTTAAGATTATGTGGGAGAATCCATGAAAAGTACCTAGCGTGGGCCCTGGCACTGTTCCCCACTAAAAGAATGCTGATGACTCATTTATTCATCACGTTGTTCACTGGGTACTCACTATTTACTGAGCCACTATTCAAATGTTAATAGTGACCAATTAAAAAAAAGAATAGATTTTTGGATCCAGTGAAATTCATCCTGGCATAAATCTCTTGCCTAGTTAAGGGTATTCTGAGATACACAGAGATTCATTTAGACCTCCTACGTGCACTATGTACGTATTTAAGCGCATTAACAAACCCAACTGGGATTCAGCCAGAGATAGGAACAGCAATGAGAGGGCTTATTACAGAGTCCCCCATGATATCAGGCTTCCTTTTTCCACTGAGAAGGATTACTCTACCTCAGATATTAGATCTCCCCTCCTTTCTCAACAAGCCTCCTGGTGGTCACATAGGGAGAGAAGACTTCTGGTCTGCATGCACACATTCATAAGTCTCACTGCTCAGACCGTCATCCCCCAAAGAGGATGCAAACTACAATCCACAGACCAACTCTCTGCTAAGTTTTTCCAAGGGGAAAAAGTGTTTCTTACAAGGTAAAGTTATCAGAGAAAATAATGTAACGTGGGAAGAAAACCTGGTTTGCTAAACAGACTTCCTTTCTAGATTCAAAATCAAATTTTTAAAAAAGCACACTTACATTTTCCAGAAACTTTGTTATCTTCTCTGCATTGTTCAGAGCCATTACTTTTATTTTAAAGGTTAATAAAATTTCCACAGCTACAAAAACCAGGATCTTACAGGATCCACTTACAACTTTATCCCAAACCCTATTAAAAAAAAAAAAAAAACGAGATATAAGATCATTTGAGTTTGAAATTTATGGTTAGCTAAACTTCTAATTATAAAATTAAGTCAAAATTACTCCTTTTAAGTATAAATTTCAGAAAAAAAGCTATAACAAAATAATCATCAAAAAAACAAAAGCAAACTAAATCAGCCATTTGAAACGTATTTCACATACAACACTGGAAGGGAAAAGGAATGATTACTAAAAAGGACTTGCTCTACAAGGCATCTGCCAGGCACCCGTCTTCTAATGACTGAAACTTGACATTTTAGGGAAGGAAAGTCTTAAACCAAAGTTTGGATTTTACTAATAGTAGGTAATGTTAATCTAATTATTATTATTATTAAATACTAAGGAATAACAAAAGCGATGTATGAAATGAGATCAATGCAATTTCATTTTCCAGTGGTTGAAATTCCTAAAACTTCTCCAAAAGCTTAAGGAGCTAGGGGGCACCTGGTTGGCTCAGTCAGTTAAGCATCTGCGTTTGGGTCAGGTCATGATCTCAGGGTCCTGGGATCGACCCCCTGTATGGGGCTCCCTGCTCAAGGGGGAGTCTGTTTCTTCCTCTACCCTCTGCTCATGCTCTCATAAATAAATTAAAAAATTTTTAAAGAGCTTAAGGAGCTATTGACTTGCAACCACTCTAAAATAACTATTCTCATAATTCCTATACCTATTTATTTATTAAAGATTTTTAATTTATTTATTCATGAGACACATACACAGAGAGAGAGAGAGAGAGAGGCAGAGGCACAGGCAGAAGGAGAAGCAGGCTCCATGCAGGGAAGCCCGACATGGGACTCGATCCCGGGACTCCAGGATCATGCCCTGGACTGAAAGCGACACTAAACCACTGAGCCACCCGGGCTGCCCTAATTCCTATACCTCCTAAAGTTGGTTTCACACTCTATGTGCTTAGTCATGTACTGCCCTGTGATGTTCTCTGCATGTTGCCTTTTCTCCCAACTACCTCATACAGCCTTGTGGGGAGGGCCAGGACTCTCAAATGCCAGCAACACATGTCTGAAATGAATAAAAGTTGGATGTGAGTCTCTGATCTCTGCCCACCTTCAGCTACTTTAAAGATGTCAGGAGGAACAAAGAAACAGGAATATTTCCTCCAGATCAAGGCCTACCATATTTCTGGAAAAGAAAAGCTTAGACCTCTGCCTGGAGACAGTTTTAGATGTGAATATTGTACAGCATCTAACATACTGAGGGCCTTCAAGTTTTCTAATTGTACACTCTAATGTCTCTAGCATTACCATTAAGTTGTATTCACATCAGGTTAACATTACTAATATTCTAGCATTTCTAACTGTAAAAAGAATAAGCTGAATCAAGTGTTGCTCTGTTGCCTGCCAAGAAGTTAACTTCAAATTATGGTATTGTCCTAAAGCAGATTCATACTCTGAAGGGTAATCACATGAAAAACCAGGATCCTTCTCTGCTTCAAGCCTTCAGATATCTTTGAAAGAGATACTTGCCTCTGTAAACTTGATTCAGGCAAGCACCCTGCGAAGCACCTCTTGAACCAGAGATCATAAGGAAGTCTGGACAGCGCAGAACACGTCTTCAGATGACTCAGCAAACGGCTATCTTCCAGATTCAAGTACTGTTCAAAAGCCTTTGGCTAATGATTAAACAGGAAGGGAGATTACTTGTTTCCTGTGACATAACATTACCCGATTTTACAGCTTGTGATGAACAGGATGAATCAAACGTACATGCTGAACGCAAAGTAAGTGCCAGAAAACCAAACTCCAGAATCATCCAAGTCACTGGTGACGCAAAGTTCCCAAGTCAGCAACCAGCAACACAGGACTAAGGGGTTTTCCAGGGCACTACTGGGCAAAACCAAACAGCTCTTCCCCCAATGTTCCCCTAACAGCATTAACAAGGTTCCACATCCAAAAGCAAGAGTCCAAAGCAAAATAAATTTATTTATTTTTCCCCCCCAAAGCAAAATTTAGTTGTTCTGGGGAACTAAGAAAGATCCATGGCACCCCTGGCTATTCTGGAGCAGTAGATGAAATATTCAGGAAAAGGGGAGAAGGGGAGGGATGCCTGAGTGGCTCAGCAGTTGAGTGTCTGCCTTTGACTCAGGGGCTCAGGGTATGATCCCAGGATCTGGGATCAAGTCCCACATCCAGCTCCCTGTGAGGAGTCTGCTTCTCCCTCTGCCTGTGTCTCTGCCTCTCTGTGTGTGTCTCTCATGAATAAATAAATCTTAAAAAAAAAAAAAAAATAAGGGAGAAGGGGAAAGAGTAAGACCAAAGAAACAAGAGTAGGACCGAAGTGGGGAGAGGGAATTAGGAAGAATGGGACAAAAAAAGAGCTGGATGTGAAAAGGGCCCACCAGTCCTTGACCACCCACACCCAGGCCAAGCGTTACTGTGCACCACACCAAAGACACCCCTACAACAGAGACATCCAGAGGAGGCACTCTGTACCCCACATGTAGGAGAATTCTCGGGAGGCAGAGAAATAACATGGAGGGAACAAAGCACCTGGATTCCATGTGGAAGCCTCTCCCATAAAAGGGTAAGTATCAGCCAACTCTAGGAGCCTGGGAGAGCTAACAAAGCCATCTCCCAGACCAGTCAAATCCACCTGGCACAAGCTGCTATATTTATGATCCACCAGCCAAGAATAGTGCCTGGGGGTCAAACTCTCAAGCCTGTATCAGTATTAAAAAAAAAAAAAAAAATACAACCCAAAACTACACTGAAGTATCCTCTCTAGTAATCACACTGAGTACTTACCCAAAAAATATAAAAACACTAATTCAAAAAGATACGTGCACTTTGAGGTTTACTGCAGCATTGTCTACAACAGCCAAACTATGTAAAGAGCCCAAATGTCCATCCATTTATGAATGGATAACGATGTGATGTATATATATAGTGGGATATTACTCAGCCGTATAAAAAGAATGAAATATTGCCATTTGCAACAACATGGAGCTAGAAGTTACGATGCTAAGTGAAATAAGTCAGAGGAAGGCAAATACCATATAATCTCACTCATGTGAAATTTAAGAAACAAAATAGATGAACATAGAAGGAAGGAAAGAAAGAGAAAGGGAGGCAAACCAAGAAACAGACTCTTAACTTTAGAGAACTGATGCTTACCAGAGGGCAGTTGGGGGGGGATGGGTGAAATAGGTGATGGAGATTAAGGCTACACTTATCATGAGGAGCATTGAGTGTTGAATCATTAAATTGTATATCTGAAACTAATATAACACTGTATGTTAACTCTACTGGAATTAAAAGTTTAATGAACAAAATTCACCCTTAAAAACAAAAAAAGAAGATATATGGAGGTATCATCTCTCACCTATCAGACTGGTAAAAATGACACACCATGTTGGCAAAGGAGACTGTAGGACAATGCATCCTCATCTACTGGTCATAAGGATGAGGTCTATGAAGGAGAATTTGGAAATATCTAGCAAAATAACATAGGCCTTTATCCTTTGATCTAGTCAACCGATTTCTAGGAAACACATCCCCCAAATATACTGGTAAATAAAAATGAAAAGGTAGGTGTATCTGTATTTATCTGTAACACTGTATAATACAAAAGACTGGAAATACCCTAAGTGGCCAATAGAGGACAAGTCAAATAAATGAAAGTATATACACACAGGGGAGTCGTATGAACCTGTGAAAAGGAATAAGGAATGTCTCTATATACAGTTGACCCCTGAACAACATGAGTTTGAACTATGTGGGTCCACTGATATATAAATGTGTTTTTAATAAATACATGTACAGTACTACAAAAGTATTTTTCTTCCTTATGATTTTAATGACATATTCTTTTACCTAACTTTATTATAAAAATAGAGTATATAATATACAAAATATTTAATATGTGTTAGCAGACTGCTTATATTCTTGGTAGGCTTCCAGCCAACAGTAGGCTACAGTAGTTAAGTTTCTAGGGAGCCAAAAGTAATACATCATTTTGAACTGTGTTGGGGGTTTGATGCCTCTAACCTCAACACCATTCAAGGGTCAACTGTAAAACTTAAGGCATGATTTCTAGCATATATCAAGTGAAAACAGAAGGGTAGAGAAAGATGCATATCATATTATTAAATCTATTAAATAGATGCTATTATTAAATCTAAGAAAGATAGTAAATATAAATACATATGTATATACTTTCTTTTTAGTGGAAAGAGATAATATTTATATTGCCTGAAAGTTTTAGTATACAGCAAATGGTAGATGAGGTTATTATATTTTACTGCTAAACTTTTAGGTTATTTCCAGTATATCCATGACCCTCAAATTCTTTACTTTATGAAGAAAAGAAAACACACCTGAACAAGAGAAGGCAAAATCTGACAGACTTAACCACTCTGAGAGGAATTTATATTGAACTTAAGATGAGGTTGCTAACAGTGTTTATTTAAAAAACAAAAACACCTCTCTTTAGGATGGCTTTTAAAAAGCAGTGCAATGGCAATGAAAGAAAGCTCACTTACTTTAATGACTGAACACAATTAAGTCTGAGATGGCTTAAGGACAGTCTGTTCTGAAAAAAGATTAACCAGAGGCCATTCATGTCACACACTGAGGCTAGATTCTATTCTCCTTGCCAAAAGCAAGATTCATCAAAGGGCAACATTTCCTAAAGCGTGTAAGCAGAGGAGCAGCTGTGATATAACCCTATCAATCAGAATATTATGACATAATAAATGTGTCACCATCAGATAGTCTCATCTTTTTGTCATGCCAAAAACCCATCGCTTCCCATTAAGTGTACATTTTCCTACAATGATAAAACAAACTACGCTTTGTGATAACCAATTTAGTTGGTAAAACCACAAAATCTTGAAGATGCTAGACAAGATTATAAAAATTACTTTAACAAGAAGCTAAGAAGAAGAGATCCACTAACCACAGTAATAAAAATTTTATGGGAGACTAAACACAGCTTAAATAAAGAGAAAAGTTCAAGTAAGCCAGTAAGTCAAATAGCAACACAAAGGAAATTTAATTTTTCTTACACATTCTGAAGAACTTTTTAAAAAAATTTCATAACTATTTAAAACTATGTGCGGAGTACTAAGACGTACATATTAAACCTCCTTTTTGAAGAGGAAGAAATTTAGGTTTGGGGAGGTATTTAGTATACCACTCATTCAAAATTCACTTCTAAAAAGAAACCAGAAACCAGTGTTCAAGCAGAGCCAAGGCACTTTTGAAACAGAACAACAATATGAAGGAATTTTCTTTACCAGCTACCAAAACATATGAGGAAGGTGTGTTAAATAAGTCATATGGTATTAGTCCAGGAATAGACAAATAGCTTTATGGGGAAAAAAGCCCAAAAAGAGATGCTAATATATATGGAAATCTAGTATATGATAAAGGTGTCATTTCAAATCTGTAAAGAAAAGAATGAATTGATAGTGTAAGCGGTAGGTAGTTCGGCTTACTGTGTGCCCTTGGGCAAGTTACTTAACTGCTCTGTGCTCTGTGCATCTATAAAAACAGAGAAGTGTGTTAAAATTAAGTTTTCATTAACATAGTAAATTGCCTGGCATGAAGCAGGAGCTCAATAACTGTCAAACAGAAAGAGGAAGAGGAGGCAGCTGACTGAAGGTTTACTGCAGTTAACAAAGAAACAAGGTCAAATCTGTGTCAGTTACAAACACAAATCCCTCACAAATTAAAGGACTAAATTTTAAAATGTTTCAATATAGGGACACCTGAGTAACTCAGTTGGTTAAACATTCAACTCTTGATCTCAGCTCAGGTCATGATCTCAGGGTTGTGGGATCAAGCTCTACTAGGCATGAGTTCTGCTTAAGATACTCTCTCTTCCTCTGCCTGTCCAACTGCACCCTGACTCTGGCTTGCTTGTGCATGAGAGCTCATGCACGTGCTCTCTGTAAAAAAAAAAAAAAAAAAAAAAATTAATATTAAATAAATAAAATTTTTAAATATTTTTAAAAGTTAGAGGAAAGTTTTTTAAAAACCTGTTTTTTAATCCTGGAGTTAGGAAGGATTCCCTACATAAGATACAAAAAGCAAAATACTGACAGATCCAGTTGCATCAAAACTTTAAAAATCTCTCTAAGACACACAGGGAGAAAAGATTGTTAACATATGTAATGCAGGATAAATATCCAGAGTATATCAATGACTTTTACAAATAAAAAAGAAAGATGCAAAAGAGAGAGGTGGACAAATACAAAAGACTCAGCATAGGCAAAATTGCTCAGCTTCATCAGAAAATGAGGATATGTAAATTAAAATGAGATACCATTTTCACTATCAGATTAACAAAAATTTAAGAAACTGATACTATCAAGTATTGGCAATGGAGTGGAAAACAGAAAATCTTATCTGTTGGGGAAGGCAAAATTGGTATGCCTTCTGGGTGAGCAATCTGGCAATTAAAAAATTAAATACGGGGCACTTGGGTGGCTCAGTCAGTTGAGTGTCTGCCCTTGGCTCACGTCATGATCTCAGGGTCCTGGAATCAAGCCCAATGTCGGGCTCCCTGCTCAACAAGGAGTCTGATTCTCTCTCTCTCTCTCTTTCTCTCTCTCTCTCTCTCTCCCCAGCTACCCCCCCACCCCTGCCACTTGTGTGTACTCTCTTTCAAATAAGTAAAATCTTTTAAAAAAACAAAAAAATTAAATACAGCACTCTTTCAACCAGGCAATCCCCTCATAGGTACCTGCTCTACAGAAACACATATATAGAAAGGCTAACATAGAATAACATGCTAACTGTCAACATGGACCTGTTATATTAAAATATGGCAAAATTCTTAACAGGAAATACTATGAACACATTTTTAAGAGAAAAAAAAGTGGTTCTAAATGAGTGGCTCTCAATCCTAGCCATACTTCAGAAACACCTGAAGCTTTTTAAAAAATAGAATTCTGGAACCCACGTACCCCCCCAAGATTCTGACTTACTGGTTTGGGGAGAGGAAAAGCACTGGTAATTTTTTAGAAGCTCCCAGGTGGTTCTAATAGGAAGTCAGGGCTGAACACTACTGATCTGCACTGACTTGGAAAGTGTTCCAAGACATTAAGTTTAAAAAAAAATTGTAGAGCTATATGAACATTATAATATTTATGTTTTTTAAGTTACATATATACAATATAATCATTATATGTGCATATGTGCATATATATGTATGTGTGTGTGAATGGATTCCATCCATCCTCATGTGCATAAAACAGTCTAGGATATACACCCAGCTAATGACAACGTTTACTTCTTAGAAGGTGGGGGATGAGGAGATACAGATCTATGGGAACACTGGATTCATCAGAATACTTCAAGAATGTACTCATTACTTGTGTCATTAAAAATAAAGAATTCTTTAAATGTAAACTAGCAAAATGCTACTGGATTGGCTTCAATACTAAGTAAGAAAAGCTAATGAAATCATGGTATAATTTGGACCTCTTGATCTAATTAGGCAACTAACATTATGTTCCCATTGCCATGCTTATTTTTATTGAAATTAAGTGGATTAAATTTTAAAATCCTGAAAATCAAATTTTACATAATTGAAATCTATAAAACACTCTTGGAACAGTGCTCAACAAAGCTAAAGGGTCTTGCCAAGGGTTCTGACGACTGCAGTTAGCACAGTGATCCTCAGGGCTTAATCAACTTTCATCAGCACCCCTCCTCAGGCCCTGCAACCACTATCTTTAGTTACTGCTTTCAACAGACTCTCAAATGACACAACTCAATGATTTAAGAAAAAAGACATTCATTTTTATAAATGAGAGAAATAAAGAAAAACATTTGAAAAACAGAATGGCAAAGAACCACTGGCTTATGCTGAGTAAGCAGGTGCCATGCTATTGTCTGGACTCCTGAGTCAGAGCGCAGCAGCCAGCCTACTTACATCCATTCACCTCTCCTTCTTCACTAACAGAATTCCATTTTAACAGATCACAATATGCCTGGCTTTATAAAAACAAAAACAAAACCACATTTCCCAGCCTGTGGCAGACAGAGGTAGCCAGGTGTCATGGTCTTGCCACCAACAGGTATGCAGAAGGAAAATCTGTCCAAGGGACTTGACTGACTGTCCCTTCTCCTCCTTCACTTTTGTCCTTGCACTTCCCCTCCTACCTGCCTAGGACACGGATGTCACAGTGGTCTCTCAGCATCCATCCTGAGCAAGAAAGGAAGGACCACAACTAAGACTGCTGGACTGCAAGGACAGGAGCCTGGGTCCCTGAAGATATCATGGCACTGTGGCTCCAGCTCTGGACTGCCTTACCTCTAGACTTCTGGTTACATGAGAGAGAAAAATAAAGCTTCAAGGATATTTGGGTTTTCCATTATATGCAGCCAAATTTAAACCTTAACTAATACAGAGAAGTAATTCTAGATAAAGCCAGTAGATTCTAGACCAGGATAAGGAATACAAAAGAGCAGGGGTTTGCAATCTATGGCCTGCAGGAGGCTAAATCCACCCACAACCATTCTTTTATGCATTGTCAGTGGCCACTTCTGTGCAACAACAGCAGAGCTGAATGTTTGCAAGAGACACACAGAGACATAGAGACCATCTGGCCCATCAACCTGAAAATATTTACTATCTGATCTTTTATGAAAAACATCTTTGGCTCTTCCTATAGAGAGTCCACTCATAATTGTAGCAGCACCAGGAAGTAAGGGTAGTTCCCCAGTATCACTGCGCACCCTGACTCACCAGCAGCCAAAAAGGCATTCCTTACCAGCTGAGGTAAAGACTCCCGGTACTTATTGTTTAGTTGGTTCACAAAGCATCGAATGATCCAGTAACAGTCGACACTATCCTCTACCATTTCTTCCACGGCTTTGGCAATGGCAAGAAATACTTCATCTTCTGGCTCCTGAAAGATCAATAATAAATCTCCGGTAAAGAGAGGGAGCCAGCAGAATAGAGGAATACATATTTCTTTCATAAAAATGAATCCTTACCCCCTAAGTTCTGAAGAGGCTGTCTTAATCAAAGTGGAACCAAAAAGCACACAGTCCACCACTAAAGAGAAGACCAAGGCGGAGATAAGAATGGGTAACCAAAGAAACCTATTTAGATTAGTGATGCTGACAACTATCCATGTTTCAGGCTGAGCATGCAGAGGTTTTTCCACCCTCTACTATTTAAGGTCACCAGAGAAAACATAAATCATAAGCAAGGTCCTGACTCTCTACACCCAAAAATATTCCCAGGGCTAGATGAGAATTTCTTTGAAAAATATGTGATGAACACCACAACTGGAAACATTTGTTAAGACAGTGCCAGTGATTTGCAAAAAGTTCAATGACTCCAAAAGAACTAATAAAGCATTTTCTTTATTTCAAAGTATTCATTCATATATTCCTTTAGAAAGGAGCCTCGGTGTCCATCAAAAGATGAATGGATAAAGAAGATGTGGTCTATGTATACAATGGAATATTATTCAGCCATTAGAGACGACAAATACCCACCATTTGCTTCGATGTGGATAGAACTGAAGGGTATTATACTGAGTGAAATAAGTCAATCGGAGAAGGACAAACATTATATGGTCTCATTCATTTGGGGAATATAAAAAATAGTGAAAGGGAATAAAGGGGAAAGGAGAAAAAATGAATGGGAAATATCAGAAAAGGAGACAGAACATGAGAGACTCCTAACTCTGGGAAACGAACAAGGGGTGGTAGAAAGGGAGGTGGGCGGGTGGTGGGGGTGACTGGGTGACAGGCACTGAGGGGGCCACTTGATGGGATGAGCACTGGGTGTTATGCTATATGTTGGCAAATTGAACTCCAATAAATAAATAAATAATATTAAAAAAAAGAATTTTGTTCTAAGCACCCTTAAGCACCTAATAAGTTAAAATGTCCTTAGAATCAGAATTTCAGGAATGAGAAGAATGGCATTTCTCAAACCCTGTGTCAATACTCAGAATATGAATGGAAACCCTCAAGTAAATTTCAACAAAGTAATCTTATAAGAACTAGAATCTACTTGAAAATCGATTTTGTTTTCAAACACCATATCTTATACAAAATTACATCTTCAGCAGTGCCTGTGGCTCAGTCAATTAAGTCCCCAACTCTTGATCTCTTGATGTCAGCTCAGGTCACAATCTCAGGGTCATGGGATTGAGCCCCACATCAGGTGTGGAGGCTGGTTGGGATTTATATTCATTCTCTCTCTCTCTCTCTCTCTCTCTGCCTTTCCCCCAGCTCATGCACACATGCATATGCTCTTGCTCTCTTAAAAAAAATTTAAAAAATTTTAAAAAAAAGTTTTCATCTAGGATTTAACAGCCAAAAGACTTCAGTGTTAAAAAGAAACTAAAAAGTATCTCTCTACTCCCCTTAAGAGCCCCAAGTTAAATCAAAATTCCTATTTTAATAAAAGCATTTCGGGGATCCCTGGGTGGCTCAGCAGTATAATGTCTGCCTTCGGCTCAGGGCATGATTTTGGAGTCCTGGGATCAAGTCCCACATCAGGCTCCCTGCATAGAGCCTGCTTCTCCCTCTGCCTGTGTCTCTGCCCCTCTGTGTGTGTCTCTCATGAATAAATAAATAAAATCTTTTTTTTCTTTTAAAAAAAAAGCATTTCATTTTAGGCCTCCTTTCAACCTCTTAATATTCTATAAAATGTCAAGAGTAACAGAATCACAACAGGAAATTGAGGGTTGCTGGAGGTGAGGTGGGTGGGAGGATGGGGTAACTGGGTAACGGGCATTAAGGAGGGCATGTGATATAATGAGCACTGGATGTTATGCAACTGAGGAATCACTGAATTCTGTCCCTGAAACCAATAATACACTATGTGTTAACTTTAAAAAGTTTATTTAAGAAAAGAGTAGGGATGCCTGGGTGGCTCAGCAGTTGAGCGATTGACCTGCCTTTGGCTCAGGTCATGATCCCGGAGTTCTGGGATCAAGTCCCACATCGGGCTTCCTGCATGGAGTCTGCTTCTCCCTCTGCCTTATGTCTCTGCCTCTCTCTCTCTCTCTCTCTCTCTCTCTCTCAGTCTGTGTCTCTCATGAATAAATAAATAAAATCTTAAAAAAAAAGTAACAGAATCACAGAAAATAATTTTTTCTAAATATTAATTAATGTATCAGAGGAAAAGAGAGAAGGAAGGGAAAGACAGCCTCCTTTCTTGCACTCCCATCCCATACTGGGCACTGTACTGAGTGCTCCTGAACATGGTATCTCACTGGCTCCAGGACAGTCTGAGAGGCAGGGAAGAAGACCAATGTCCTTGACTATGTTCCCAGCCCCGTGTGGAGCGCTGTCACACACTCTACTAGATAGCAATACTAATGAGGCTGAGTGGGTCTTGATGACCGGGGAGATGTGGGAGGCACAGCCAAAACCAACACTTTGATGGCACATCTGCCCAAGACTACAGTGATGTGCCATCAAAGTGTTGAGACATGCTGAGCAGGAATGAGGTGAAAACCATAAACTATCATTTAGATTTCTTGAACTAATAGATAACCTAATTTAATATATAATTTAAGAACTTGCAGAGTACTACCAACTTTGCTCTGCCAGAGATAAGGAAAATTTAAAGAAGTCTGTCAAGACTTCCAATTATTTTCAGAGCCATTCTCTCTTTATAAACTTAACATGAATGGACAACCTCAGGTCTGTCCATGGGAGCCACATCATTAACTTCAAAAAGAAAGAACAAGTGAAAACTCAAAGTGCTATACAGGTAGATTGCAAAGTGCAATAAAAAAGTAAGTTTTGGGGTGCCTGAGTGACTCAGTTAAGCATCTGCCTTTGGCTCCGGTGGTGATCCCTGGGTCCTGGGACTGAGCACCACATTGGTCTCCCTGCTCAGCAGAGAGTCTGCTTCTCCCTCTCCCTCAACCCCTCTCCCCACTTGTGCTCTCTAATAAATAAAAAAATAATAATAAGGTTTACAGAATACCACAGCTTGCAGGCAAATCCTGATTTGAGCCATCACTGTTTTAGCCACACAAAAAAAAAGTTAAAATGCCTAAAATGAACTTTGAATTGCATTAAAATAGCCAAAGCCCAAGAGCTATAATCATTTCTTTACCTGAACTTTCCCTCTTCCCTTCTTTTCCCTTTACAAACAATAAGCAGTCCAAGTAACTAGGGTACGGTTTGTCAAAGATGGAAGTTTAAAAACAGGTTGGGGCCTGCTGGGCTGAGGCCTTAGGTCAAGGTCAAGGAGCTAACCTATTGCACCAGCAGGCAAGGGTCAAAAGGTAGCTGGCAGTATGGGTTACAACGAGAGGAATGAGCAAAGCAGTAACCATACTAAGGAGAATAAGAGCCTTTATATATTTGCAACTCTCAGACAAGGAAGCTGCAAACACAGAAGGGTGAAAGTAAGAAGAACTCACAGGCCTGGACTGGAATCAGAGGTATTGGTACTGGAATCAGAGGTGTGAAATGAGGGTTTTTAATATTCAGAGGTCAAAAGACATATAAACATACACATATGTGTGCACATGATTCTATATACTAATAGAATGTGTACATATTTCCTAGCTCTGCCTATAGACAGGACCAAGTGGCAACAACACACCAGAAACAACAAGCACGTCTAGTGCCCTATTCTTGGTTTCTAAATACCACCCTTTATTCAAAAGGGACATGGCTGATTTTAGGAGTGGGGTAGAAAAAATACAAGATGGGCTTGGAATATCTTTTTGTGCCGGAAGGTAAGGAAATGCTCAATGATAGGGGCTTGTCAATAAAGACACAGCAGTCAATTTGAAGGGTCTCCCACTGGCCTGAGACAAGCTGAACATCAAGTAAATAATCATATTAATGGGTTATAGGCCACTGAATAAAAGAGGAATCCATAAATTCATACTGATATAAATAAATGAGAAAGGAAACCCCTTCCTTATAAAAGAATGCCAACTAATAATTGCAGAGGGAATGAAACAGAAAATGACCAGTTGACAATCAGCAGAGTAAAAATTATTTCAGGCAGGAATCATTACATGTGGATGGATATTTACATAATCTCAAAGCATCTCCTCACAAATTATTTATTAATTACAAGAGGAAAAATAGTAACCTTAGACTGAAGAAACCGGGCAGATGCCACCTTAATCAAATGATCAAAGTTAGCAGCAATAGTAGTAAGTATCATACTTCTGTGGTATTCCTGACAAAAGTGCATAATCAAATATTAGTCACAAGGAAACATCAGGGCAGCCCGGGTGGCTCAGTGGTTTAGCACTGCCTTCAGCCCAGGGCGGGATCCTGGAGACCTGGGATCGAGTCCCATGTCAGGCTCCCTGCATGGAGCCTGCTTCTCCCTCTGCCTGTGTCTCTGCCTCTCTCTCTGTCTCTGTCTCTCATGAAAAAATAAATAAGGGGATCCTTGGGTGGCTCAGTGGTTTAGCACCTGCCTTCAGCCCAGGGCGTGATCCTGGAGACCTGGGATCAAGTCCCACGTCGGGCTCCCTGCATGGAGCCTGCTTCTTCCTCTGCCTATGTCTCTGCCTCTCTCTCTCCTCTGTGTCTTTCATGAATAAATCAATAAAATATTTTAAAAATAAATAAATAAATAAAATCTTAAATAAATAAATAAAAATAATCTTATCTTTAAAAAAATAAAAAAAAAACAAGGAAACATCAAATGGACCTAAACTGAGAAACACTCTACTGTCTAAAACTCTTCAGATGTGTCAAGATCATCAAAGACAGACTAACGAACATCTAAATGAAAGCAGAGTAAGAAGATGTGGCAATGAATGCCACCTATGAGTCCACACTGGATCCCAAACCAGGAAAAGGACAGCAGAATCTCAGTATGGTCTATAGATTCATGATATTTTATCACTGATAATTTTCTGAGTTTGATAATTATACTACAGTTACAGAAGATGAAACATCTGATGATGCTAGGTAAAAGTACATGGGAACACTATACTATGTCTTCCAATTTTTTCTATGTCTAAAATGATTTTTTAATGAAGAGTTAAAGCATTTAAAAAAATTTTAAATCACCAACAAATGATAAAACTACTGGCTGAAAGTTTCATAAGAAAGTCTGATAAGGGATCCCTGGATGGCGCAGCGGTTAGGCGCCTACCTTTGGCCCAGGGCACGATCCTGGAGACCCGGGATCGAATCCCACATCGGGCTCCCGGTGCATGGAGCCTGCTTCTCCCTCTGCCTGTGTCTCTGCCTCTCTCTCTCTCTCACTGTGTGCCTATCATGAATAAAAAATAGAAAGAAAAGAAAAGAAAGAAAAGAAAAGAAAAGAAAAGAAAAGAAAGAAAAGAAAGAAAGTCTGATAAGTTCTGAACCAAAACTTATTGTTTATGATAAAGGGCATTACTGGGGCAATTGCCAAATGTGAATGGAGTCTGAAGATTCAATGTTAATACTGTATCAATGTAAACTTCTTGGTTTCAATGCTTGTACCATGGTTACCCAGGGGAATGTTATTCTCTTTAGGAAGTCTATATTGAAGGAATCTGAAGTAATGGAATATCATGTTAAAAATTTTTTTAAAGATTTTATTTATTTATTCGTGAAAGACACACAGAGAGAGAGAGGCAGAGACACAGGCGGAGGGAGTAGCAGGTTCCACGCAGGGAGTTTGACCTGGGACTTGATTCCAGGTCTCCAGGATCACACCCTGGACTGAAGGAGGTGCTACACCACTGAGCCACCTGGGCTCCCCTGCATCTTATTTTCAAATGGTTTAGGAAAAAATATGTATACATGCAAAGGAAAAAAATGACAAAGAAACATGGCAAAATGTCAATGCCTGGGGAACCTGGGTAAAGAGCATATAGGAATTCTTGGTAATGTTCTTGCAAAAGCTTGCCATCACTTCAAAATAAAATGTAGAAAATTTTATAAAAATTAGACAGGGATGCCTGGGTGGCTCAGCAATTTAGCACCGCCTTCAGCCCAGGGCGCGATCCCAGGGTCCTGGGATTGAGTCCCACGTCTGGCTCCCTGCATGGAGCCTGCTTCTGCCTCTGCCTGTGTCTCTGCCTCCCTCTCTCTCTCTCTCTCTCTATCATAAATAAATAAAAATTTTAAAAAATTAAAAAATAAAAAATAAAAATTAGATTGAGTCAGAATATGCAGGACCAGGAGTGCCAGGGAAATATGTGTTGCTTTTATTCCACAGAGAGTCACTGAAAGTTTCGAAGACAAAATACAATGCAGTCAAAAGGTCAGCAGGATGGGACAGACTAGAGTTGAGACAAGTGTCAAAGAAAAGCAGCACTAACCAGTGGAAAGGAGGGACTTCGAGGCAACTTTCCAGACTCCAGCTGATACATGCGGAGATAGACTTCAACCTGAGGTGTGGCATCGCTGACAAAGCGAACAATGTGCAGGGCATGAAGCACATCGCAGTACTGCTCCTTGCGATACATCATCACCTGGGCATGGGATTCATGGTGTGGAGGCAGGATCCCTATACAGAGACCGATGGGGGAAAAGAATGGGCAAAATACTGAGACACAGACCCAAAGCCCTCCTCTATTACAGAGAAATCAAGTGAGAGCTGCCCTGTCATGATTAGACTGCAATCACACAGATATTTAGTTACCGTACAGATTCTGTTTTACAAATTCTCTTTATAAAATATTAAATTTTAAAGTGAACTATCAATATTTGATGCCAACTGCATCACTGAAATTTAAGAGAAATTGAAATGGCATCATAAAGCCCTTGAACAAGTGTGCCCCCTAAAGTCAAGACAATAGCTACCTCAATTATCATAATGATTTAATTTTTGGTTGTTGGCCTGGGGCCACCCTCAGCTTCTACAGACCGATCTCCAGTTTTTGCACTTGGCCCCTGCTACAGACTGAATTGTTCCCCACCCTCCAGATTCATACACTAAAGCCCCAACCCCAGTGTGCCTGTAACTAGAGATAGAGCTGATAAGGTTAAATGTGGCTGTAAGGGTGGGTGAACAGAGCTATTGCCCTTCTAAGAAAAGGAAGACATACCAGAGTCTGTGGTTTCTCTCTCTGCCATGTGCGGACAGAATGGGAAGGTGGCCATCTACAAGCCAAGAAGGGAGGCCTAAAGCACCAAGAGCCAAACCAACCAGCACCTCAATCCTGAACTTCTCAGCCTCCAGAAGCGTGAGAATATACTGTTGTTTAAGCCCCCAGTCCATGGTATCTCATTATGGCTGCCCAAGCTAACAGTACAGGCCCCTCATCTCAGAGCCACTCACAACTCCTCAAAGCCTTCTCTTCCCCAACAAGCAAACTTGCTCACAAAGTAATCTAGCTTCAGGAATACAGAATCTGTGGCTGATGAGGCCACCTTACATTACATTCTGATACTATTTGTGCTCATCAACTCAATCAAACACATCTACCTGTGAGGCTCTGGAGCAAAATCCATATCTTTTTTTTCACAAACAAATGGCATGGAAAAAAGCAGAGTGGAAAGAGCACTGGACAGGCTTTCAGCATGTCTGATAACCCCAGAATTCTCACAAATGTCTCTCTGGGAACTTGTTTCCTCAGCAGGCAGAGGTGAGAAATGGGATGGTTAAGTATCTCACCAAATGTCCTTCATACAAAACTAGCCCCAAAAGCCTGTATGAGAAAAAGAGTACCAAGGGTCAAACAGATTTGCAAAATGTTGAAATTGAATTTTCTAGGTTCTAAATTCTGCTATAAAGAAAAACATCTTAGGGACACCTGGGTGGCTCGGTTGAGCATCCGACTCTTGATTTCGGCTCGAGTTGTGATCTCGGGGTCCTGGAATCAAGCCCCAGATCAGGCTCCCAAGCTCAGTGCAGAGTCCGCCTGGGATTCATTCTTTGTCCCTCCCCCAGTGCTAGCTCGTTCTCTAAAATAAATAAATAAAATCTTAAAATAGAAACTGTATTTATTCTAGCCTCATTAGATTTAACAAGACTGTATAGGGACATGGAGTCAAAGTTCATGTCATAAGTTCATAAGGTTTGCTATCCAGCTCTATGATTAACTGGCTAGATGATGGTCAGCAACTTATTCAGTGTCCCTATACCTTAGCTGCTCCATCATAAAAATGAGACTAATAACACCTATCTCATACAGCTGTTGTAATGATTAAAAAATTTACATATATAAAGTACCTAGGAAGCATATAGCACATACTAAGCTAGTATAAGAGTTAGCTGTCCATTTGATTAAGGATCACTCTTTGCTATAAAACAACAGAGATCCAGTATTCTAAAGAAGTGTCACAAACCGCAACTGGACATCTCCCACTAATCCACTGGTATTATTAATAAGACACGTAGTATTTCCCAGCCAAAATAGATGGTATTGACATTACCACCTAAAAGGCATCCCTGGAAGGCATTTATTTTGATGGTCACCGGAAACACCAAGATTTAAGAAAAAATGCTCAGGGAAAAACTAAAATAGCTGATACTCGCTCTCAAGACATAAACTGTACAGTGGCCCACCAGAAATACAACTACATAAAGATGTGCCAGGACGCACAACACACAAAGGCATCACACAGTACTTTCCAGTATGGGTTGTATCCCCTCGCTGCCTCCACATTACGTAATCAGACTTAGGATGGCAGGTTTCTCAAGTTCTGAAAATCCAGTACATTCTGGAAAAGAAAATGAGGTCTGCTGTCTATCCTACCTTCGGATGGGCTCTACCAACCTGAGATCAAATCCCAGCTCTGCCACTTACAGACTGGAAGGCCTTAGGCAAGTTATTTAGCCTTGTGGCCTTTGACACCATTTGTAAAAATGGGATGTTAATACCTACTTCACAAGAGAAGTCTAGGATTACTCTCATTTTTTTTTTTTAAAGAAAGAAAAGTTAGATGGTTAATGGATGGATATTATATGCAACAGCAGGCTGAGCAGTAACAGAAAAAAATCCTTGGCTCAAAAGGGACGCTGTCAGTCACTTTTCCTCCACAGAAACTGAGCAGGTTCATTTGTCCTTTCCTTCAGCCACTCATCACTGAAATCTATCCATTTGTGCTTCTAGGAGGTAAAAACTTCAATTTCTTTCTGACTCTGATAGCACTCATTAGGAAGTTAGACCTTTGCAGCTGGGAATCACAGAAATAACAAATTGAGGGCTACGACCTACAAGTTAATGTGGCTAAATAACCTCACTTTACAGGTGCAAAAATTGAGGCCTAGCAGGGTCTTCCTCAGTTACACAGGTGACGGTAAAGCCTAGGCCAGTTCTTTCTCCAATTCGATGCTCTTCCCACACCTAGTTTCAGGAACACACGTTACTTTCTCTTCTATTATTACTAAACTGACATTCTTAGAGTCCTATTTAATGCACTGCTACTAAAGCCACCTTCTTAAATGCTCTCACAGTCCGCAGTAATCCAGTCTCCTAAAACCAGACCTAATATGCAGTAAAGGGCCTAAAAAAAAAAAAAAAAAATGCTCTTTTTTCTGATAAGATGACGAATATCCCGTCATTCAACACTTTTGAAGATAAATCTTCCTACTGTTGGGTCACATACCTAGAAGCACCTTCCATACCAGTGCACGGTACATGGATGGGAGAGGGAACCTTTGACTAAAAGTACAAAGTTTCTCAATATCTAGAGGAAGAGAAAGAAAACAGCAATTAGGAGCTTTTTCATGCTGATCAAATGAAAGTGCATTTCTGTCTTTAAAAATGACAGTAAGACATTTCTTCAGAGGAATTCTACTCAGTAAATCTAGGAAAGGCAAGGTCTGATTTCTAGCCCAGGTGTTTCACCAACTAGCTATTTAAGAACAATTAGTGCTTCACGGAGTAGGTGATGTATTTAGCATCTATTACTATATTCCCTACATTAGCAGTAGTTACTATTTATAGAATTTATTTCATTTAATCTATACCTCAAGCTTTTGGGGTTGTTATTGTTTTAAAGATGCAGAAACTGGGGCACCTGGGTGGTTCAGTTGATTGAGCATCTGACTCTTAATTTCAGCTCAAGTTGTAATCTAAGGGTGGTGGGATTGAACCTCGAGTATGGCTCCTCGCTTAGCGGGGAGTCTTGCTGGAGATCTCCCTCTACCCCTCCTTCCCCATTCATGTGCCTGTGTGCACCCATGCATGTGTGCTCTCTCAAAGAAAGAAAAGATTTCTCTTTTAAAAAAAAATGCAGAAAGTGAAGCTCTAAGAAGTTAAATGACTTGATGAAGTTAGCACAGCTACTGAGTGGCATTGTCAGGCCTCAAATCCCCACATTTTCCAATAAACCACACTCAACTGTCCCGGACCTCAACTCCCCCTACTTGTCAAATGAGAATAATTCCAGACATACTTAAAACAAAGACTGTCTAGTGCGGATCAAAGATAAGGTGGGAAATTGTTTAGAAATTCTAAAAGCAGGATGCCTGGGTAGCTCAGCGGTTTGAGCATCTGCCTTTGGTCCAGGGCGTGATCCTGGGTCCTGGGATCGAGTCCGACATCGGGCTCCCTACAGGGAGCCTGTTTCTCCCTCTGCCTATGTCTCTGCCTCTCTCTGAGTCTCTCACAAATGAATAAATAAAACCTTAAAAAAAATTTTTAAGCATTCTATGCATATTACTTTTTTTAACCTATGATTCAGTTTATTTTAGTCAACAGAACAGACCTATTATTACTATGAAGAAACTAAAACGTCAATACATAACGTAGTCTTGGTATTTCCATAGAAGAAAAATCATGGCCAAGAGTTGTTGCAAATTTACCCAGAAACTAATAACACCTCTGAAAACTGAGGAAAGGAAATATATAGGTATAATATGAGAAAAAAAGCATCACTGACTTGAGTCCTCTCAAAGACATCTGACTCGGCCTCAGCAAAATATAAACCTGAAAAATCCATGACTTCTGTCAAAATACACCACTCACCTTTCATCCTATCACTAAAAATACAGCAGGTAACAAATAGTGCTGAATGTCTTTTAAGATAGCATTTCTTTCAGAACAGCTGAGACGACTAAAACGCGATAACCCTGAGCTTGTAAAACTCACCCAGTCGGTCATCTTTTAGGAGAATTTCCAGTGATTTCTTTTCTTCAACTCCACGAAACCCCACTTTCTCATAATATACGGAACGGAAGTTTCTCTGAGAGTCCTCAGTCATGTTTCATCCTTGGAGGGAAGAGAAAGAACAGGGAGGGGGAAACAGCTTAAAAACAAAGAGTAAAGAATTAGGAACATCTCCAATGATTTTCTGCGACTTCGCCATGAATTTGATATACTAAAATAAGCTGGCTGCCCTCGCACAGGACTCAACATTAAATATCCCTTTTTAAACAACTAACACCACCTCACCGGTGTTCCTTGGCCAAAAACCGAGACATAAAACTAAAGTCCTCTGAGCTACTAAAATAGATTTTGCAAGGTGCAGAAGATACTAAGGAGGACCACTTATCGGAGCTCCTAGCCATCACATAGGTTGAAAGAAAAAAATTAGTAAAATCCGAAGACGGACTAGATAGGGGTTACCAAACAGTATCCACCAGGATTTTTGTTTGTTTTACAATATTATGCATTAAAAAACTGGACTCTATTCTAAAGCACTGGCAATTTATTATCTTTCAGTGGTAGGATTCCAGGTGGTTTAAATCTCCTTTCTTTTGTCAAATGGGCATTTTGTAAAATGAAAAACTAACCTATCATGTAAAAAGCCACATGCTTCTCATTGAGTTTCCCTTCAAACACAGTCCTATCAAATGCAATTACCCAGATCCAGAACCCACCAGAGAGTAGCAGCACCAAACTGCAAACCAGAAGAGGGGCAGGAGCGTAGCCTGTTCACAAGCGAGGCCACAAAGCTGGGGACAGAACAATGAACTTAAAATGTGGAATCAGAACTCAAGACAATTCAGCGGCCTCAAGTTCTTTCACCATAAATGTTCCTAAGACTGAGGGCAAGTCAACCGGGAAAAGGTCAAGTTAGGTTGGCCTTTAAAGCATAAAATGAATGTAATGGATTTTTCAGGAAGTACTGCACGCCCAACTCAAATACATAAAATACCCATGCAAAAAAAAAAAAAAAAATATATATATATATATACACATATATGTATAATCCCCAAGTTTCAGAAATCCTGAGAAGCCTCCAGTGACCCGAAGATGGTTGTATTCCAGACAGCCACAGTCTTCCTTATTGAAAAGATATGTTCAGGGCAGCCCGGGTGGCTCAGCGGTTAGGGCCTCCTTCAGCCCAGGGCCTGATCCTAGAGACCCAGGATCGAGTCCCACGTCGGGCTCCCTGCATGGAGCCTGCTTCTCCCTCTGCCTGTGTCTCTGCCTCTCTCTATCTCAAATAAATAAATATTTTTTAAAAAAAATCAAAAAGAAAAAAAAGAGGCATATAATTAAAAAAAAAAAAAAAGATATGCCCACAGTCCCTTCAATTCCAGGAAGAGGAGGGATCATTTACCAATCAGAAATTCTCAAGGGTTCTGAGCTCTGGGGCCCAAATGTGTTTTTGTTTTGTTTGTTTTGTTTTGTTTTTTTTTTGAAAAAACAAAATTCCAAAGCTCTACAGCCGCTCGTGAGTTGGGGGATTCATTTGAAAGCAGGATCCAAACAGCTGCAGGCGGATGAAACGCCATCCTCGGGGCAGCCCGGGTGGCCCAGCGGTTAGCGCCGCCTTCGGCCCAGGGCGTGACCCCGGGGTCCCGGGATCGAATCACGCGCCGGGCATCCCTGCATGGAGCCTGCTTCTCCCTCTGCCTGTGTCTCTCATGAATAAACAAAATCTTTAAAACGCAAAAAAAAAAAACAAATAACAAGCCGCCAGCCTCGGATCGCACTACAGCGGAATGCGGGTCCTGCTGGAGGAAATACCGCAAATGCGCCCCCGGCCCCGATGCAAACACACCCTGGTCCGAGGGCCCAGGTCCCCCTCACTCCGCTTCACCTCCGGTAGAGGAAACCACACCCGGCTTGGGACTAAGCGGTCCGGGGGCAGCCGGGCGACCCGAGGGCCGCGGACCACACGGACGCGCCCCGCGGCGACCCCCGCGCCGGGAGGCCAGCGCCTCGCAGCCGCCGTCGCCGGATGTGACGTCAGCGCCCTGGGCGGGGCGGGGCGGTGCCGAGAGTGGCAGCCCTCCAGAGCATGCGCAGAAGCTCCACGCGCCCTAAGCACCTGGGGTCCGAGGCTCGGGCCTCCGTGCCGCAGCGGGCCCCCGGGCTCCGATCCTCTAGCTCTCCCCGCCCCCCGCTCCGTCCCGGAGAATCTCGCGGCCACCTTGTCCCCTTGTGCGCTCTGTCCTGGCGGCTGGTGCTTGGGATGCTCTCTCCTCCAGGGCGGGGCGGCGGGGAGGTCCCCACCTGCAGGGCACCTGGGAGCCTGGGAAGATGCTCCGCAGACAGGTGGCAGACTCCTGTTTTGGTTGTTTATTTCCTTTTTAATTCTTTCGGTATGTGAAGACCAGCTGCATGAAAAATGCAAAGGGGGAATCCCTGAGTGGCTCAGCGGCTCAGCGCCTGCCTTCAGCCCAGGGCGTGACCCCGGAGACCCGGGATCGAGTCCCACAGGGGGCTCCCTGCATGGAGCCTGCTTCTCCCTCCTCCTGTGTCTCTGCCTCTCTCTCACTCTCTCTCTCTCTCTCTGTCTGTCTGTCTCTCTCATGAATAAATAAATAAAATCCTTTTTAAAAATGCAAAGGGAAGTTATTCACAGCTCGCTGTGCAACAGAGCCACCATCCCTTGAGTTTTCTCCAAGGCGGGCCGAGGAGTGGAGATGGTTGATGGGGGGCGGGGGGGGAGCGCGGGGATGCTTCAGGCGGCCCCTCGCTGGAGGCTGCTGATCTGGGGAAGCTGTGGGGAGACTAGTTAGAGGGGGGCAACCTGGGTGGTCCGAGCCCCCGTCAGCCGTGTGTGGCTTTCTGTGGTCCGAAGTTGGGACAAAAATCAGAGAAGCTGGCAGTTATTAATCAAATCCTGGCCACCTGGGGCCAAATGTTACTATCATTTATTGATTAGCTTCCTGGGCTTGTTCCTAAAGCTAGCAATCTGGCTTCCTTTAAGTCTGGCTCATAGCAGACAGGCTTCCTAGGCTAGTTATTACAGATAGGCATTGGTTTTCTTTATCTTTTTTTAAGATTTTATTTATTTATTCATGAGAGAGACAGAGAGAGAGAGAGGCAGAGACACAGGCAGAGGGAGAAGCAGGCTCCACGCAGGGAGCCCGATGCAGGACTCGAACCCGGGTCTCCAGGGTCACGACCTGAGCCAAAGGCAAGCGCTAAACCGCTGAGCCCCCTCCCCCCCACCCCCCCACCCCCCACCCCTACCCCCAGGCTGCCCGGTGTTGGTTTTCTAGCTAGGTTGCTGCAGGTTGTGAGTCAGAGCTCTTTTTTTTTTTTTTTAAGAAGTTGGTAAATTCTTTTTTTTCTTTATTGATTCATGATAGACATGAGAGAGAGAGAGAGGCAGAGACACAGGAGGAGGGAGAAGCAGGCTCCATGGAGGGAGCACGACGTGGGACTGGATTCCGGGACTGTAGGATCACGTCCTGGGCTGAAGGCAGGCGCTAAGCAGCTGAGCCACCCAGGGATCCCCCCAGAGCTCTATTTTTATATACGGTTGGACCACTGTATCTTCAGATTAAATACTATAAAAGTAAATTAGGAAAAGTGAAGGTTAAAAACAAGATATACTAAATGTAATCCCCAATTTATTAGGCTTAGCAGACATAAAGCTACTCTGTAAAATGGCTACTAAAGTCTATAAGCATTTTCAATTTCTATGCTTAACCTGTCACAGACCAGCAGTGGTCCTGGAGAGATCCCTCTGAGCATTGCCTGCACAGCTTGAGAGGAACACCCTCTTCCCCCCAGAGAAAAGTCAGTTCAGTGGTGAGTGCTGCCTCCTTAAAAGCCCAAACATATGGGCAGCCCGGGTGGCTCAGCAGTTTAGCATCACCTTCAGCCCAGGGCCTGATCCTGGAGACCCGGGATCAAGTCCCATGTGGGGCTCCCTGCACAGAGCCTGCTTCTCCCTCTGCCTGTGTCTCTGCCTCTCTCTGTGTGTCTCTCATGGATAAATAAATAATTTTTTTAAAGCCCAAATGTATACAGAAAAGATCACACAGAGGCCAAGCTCTAGAGGGAAACTGGCATCAATGGTGTAGAAATCAGTCTGGTCATAGGAAGAGGGAGAAGCAGGCTCCCCGCCAAGAAGCCCAATGCAGGACTCGATCCCAGGACCCCAGGATCACAACCTGAGTCAAAGGCAGACACTCAGCCACTGAGCCATCCAGGTGCCCACTAGATAGAACTTAAAGAAGCAAGTGGTGATTGAACTTGCTTAAGCTGTTCCCAACTGCCCCTCACCATCTTTAGTTCTTCAGCCCTGAAGTACTAAGCCTTGCTTTGACAGTGTTTCTTCACATTGGGAGGAATTCTTCAAGTTACAGCTTTAAGAATTCCATTTGCTTCATTTACTTCACCTGAACCTTGGGCCAGTCACTAATGTTTACAATTTCCTTTCCTTTTAGTCTTTAAAATAGAGCTAATTAGGGTGACAATATTGCAGGTATTGGAAAGATTAAATGGGAAAGTGTGTAAACTGAGGCAGCCGGGTGGCTCAGCGGTTTAGTGTCTGCCTTCGGCCCAGGACATGATCCTGGAGACCTGGGGTCGAGTCTTACATCGGGCTCCCTGCATGAAGCCTGCTTCTCCCTCTGCCTGCCTCTCTCTCTCTCTCTCTCTCTCTCTCTCTCTCTCTCTCTCTCTCTGTCTGTGTCTCTCATAAATAAATAAGTAAATAAATAAATAAATAAATAAATAAATAAATAAATAAAATCTTTAAAAAAAAGGAAAGTGTGTAAACTGCTTGGCACAGTGCCATGGCACAGTGAGGAGTTCTGTGAATCAGCTGCCAATAGCGTATGCGTGACAATATGGTTGTCTTTAGCTGCCATTCACTGTGCTTTTTGGTGAGCTGATAAACTGAATATTTGGAGGTTTCTCTGTTCATATAGAAGTCTCCTAGAGACCCTTTCAAAATGTCCTTTCTCTGCTTAAAATCCTGCGGTGAGCTTCCTGTTTCCCTTAAATACCACAATGTTTTCGTTGTATGCCTTACCTCCACCTCATCTTCTATCGGGGACCCTCTTGTCTTAGGATCTTATCATGTTTGCTTTCTCTTCCTGAAATGCTGTTTCCCCAGCCAGCCACACTTCCTATTTCCTCACCTTAATTTCGGTCATATGTTTCCACCCCCTAACCACCCTACCAAAAATTGCAAACTCATTGCCCGAGTCTTAATCTCCTCCCATACTCTACTTGTCCTTTCTTCCACAGCACTTGTCACCTCACACACTACATTAATCCACATATTTTCGTTGTCGAGTCTGGTGGGAGGCCATCAGAATGTCAGTTCCACAAGATCAGGAAACTTTGCTTTGTTAACTTCTACATCCCTAGTTGATGGGACAGTACTTGACACATAGTAGGTACTCAATTCAGACTTGCAGAGAGATCCCACACACTGAATGGATGGCCATCCTTTCCTTCTTATCACTGTGTGTTTGGGCTTTGAGATGTCAGAAGACATTATTAGTCATTGGATGCCTGCCACAACACAGAACATAGAGTGAGGTAGGCAAGTGTGATGTTGTCATTCACAAGAAATACATATTTGATTCTTCATGCCTCTTTTTTTAAAGATTTTTAATTTATTTATCCATGAGAAACACAGAGACCTAGAGAGAGAAGCAGACTCCCCTCAGAGAGCCTCATGTGGGATTCAATCCCAGGACCCCAGGATCATGATCTGAGCTGAAGGCAGACGCTCAACCATTTAGCCGCCCAGGTGCCCTTCATCCCTGTTTCTGGCTCAGAACTCCTAAAATCCTTGAAATGTCCTAGGTATTGAGAGTGATAATGGTATGTTATGTTAATGAGGTGACTGTTGGACTACACCTGAGCATGGGCCTGCCCCCCTGACTTCCCGGAAGGTGAGAGAGGCTGGAAGTGGAATCAGTCCTTAATGGCCAATGATTTAATCAATTGTGCCTATATAATGAAGCCTCCATTAAAACCCCCAAAAGGAGGGGGTTTGCAGAGCTTCCGGGTTGGTGAATTCCTGCAGATTTGGGGATAGTGGTGCACTTGGGAAAAGTGTGGAAGCTCTGTGTCCTTCCCTATATCTTGCCCTAAGCATCTCTTCCAACCGGCTGTTCCTAAATTACATCCTTTTTATAAAAAATTAGTAATCTAGTAAGTAAAGTGTTTCTCTTTGTTCTGTAAGCCACACTAACAAATTAATCAAACCCAAGGAAGAGCTTGTAGGAATCTCCAGTCTATAGGTGGGCCAGAAGCCAGGGAGACAGGCTAGGTTTTCATCTGGAATCTGAAGTAGGGTGGGGGAACCAGTTTGTAGGATCGACCCCTTAGTCTGTGGAATCTGATGCTATCTCTGGGTAATCTCAGGATTATTTAAAATATAGGACACCCAACTGCTGTCCAAGAACTGCTTGATGCTGTAGGGAAACCACCCCCTCCACATGCACGTGTGGGGGCACACACACACACACACATATGCACACACGTAAGAACTGGATGACATATCTAAGCAGGCATTCCATTTTTATGGAATTTCATTGAAATATGAATTGTAAAGGTCACAGGTGCACTTCATTTTGAATGTATACCTTGCTGCCCATTTGTGGCTAGCCTCACTCTTTACTGCTTTGTAACCGGACTGCCCTCTGGTGGTGAACTGTTTTTACTAAATTACGGGAATAATTGTACTAGTCAATCGAATGTGGAGGTTGAAAAGGGAATTCAAAGTCAGCCATTAAATCTGGGGCAGTGAGCTAGACTTCAGGATATGAAGACAGAAGAATATAGGAATGGCATCATAGCTTTCAAATTTGAAATTCACTTTCGACAGGATAGTTGTTACCAAATACCATCAACCTCCATCACTTCCTCTCTTTTCAAATAATAAAGAAATGGAGACCCAGTGAGGTCATAGCTCCAAGGCAACAGCATAATTGGTGACTATAGAAATTCAGGTAATCGATGTATCAGATCACATCTCTAA